ACTAATATCTTCATACATAACAAATCTTACTAATAAAGACACTAATATTTTCATACATAACAAATCTTACTAATAAAGACACTAATATCTTCATACATAGCATATCTTACTAATAAAAACTACAATATCTTCATACATAGCATATCTTACTAATAAAGACTATAATATCTTCATACATAACATATCTTACTAATAAAGACACTAATATCTTCATACATAACAAATCTTACTAAATTAGACACTAATATCTTCATACATAACATATCTTACTAATAGAGACTATAATATCTTCATAAATAACAAATCTTACTAATAAAGACACTAATATCTTCATAAATAACAAATCTTACTAATAAAGACACTAATATCTTCATAAATAACAAACATTACTAATAAAGACTGTAATAAAGATTTGTACATTAGTTATGTTTGTAGATATACTGTTTTTAAACTTAATTATCAAAGTTTTCTTGACACAACCAATCAAGTTTATCACAATTTGAACACCATGTTCTTTCACTTTTGCACACATTTCAACAATATTCTTTCTTTTAAATAAGGATTTAAAATCTTTACAGAATATTCTAACCTTTGAAAACATTCACATCTACTCCTCAGTTTCTATGACAATACTGAACCACTTGAGAATTAACTGTCATTAGTTTAAATCTTACTATATATACTTATTATTAGCTATGTACCAGTTCCATATACAGTACAATATTATGTAATTGGATAAGTTACATAATGTTTACATTTTATTAGTTGAAGTTCTTAATATGTACAGTTACTACTACTGACTGGATAAGCTGCTAGTCATAAAACTAATATAATTTTGGTGCGTATCTATAAATATACTGCTTACAAGTTAAAAGAATTATTTTTATATACAAATATGAACTGGAATACGGTATACAGTTTGATCTCCCTGTCCAAGACAGGATATTGACTTATTCGAAAGAGTTTAATGGAAGGATACTAAGAAGATTCCAGGAACAGGTTAATTTAACAAAACATACTGACCACAAAGGAACATCTATTGCTTCAAGGCTGTTCTTGGACATTGACCGTTAAAAAATGCAAATACTTAAACCCACCTTTGAGTTTTCAGGAAATCATCCAGTCTCCTGTTCAACTCAAAATAACAACTCATTCTATAAGGCAATCACCCTGTTAGAAAAATAAGGCTGTATTAACTTGATCCTAGCCTGTCTTTTCTAAATCGGCATTAAACTTGTGTCTTCTCATCCTATTATCTTCAGAATACAGCACAAAGAAACTAGAAGTTTTTAGCCCATCACTGTCACAGATAACCTTGTAAACTTTAACATGATTGTCCCTAACTGTTCTTTCCTCATGAGAAAATATGTTAAAGAGGTCTTAAAACATTTTAAACATTTTGAAAAGCTGGCTAGGTTCTATTTAAAGTAGTTTTAATTTTCAGATGGTGAGAATTGAACAAACTGCTGTCAGTAGTGGTGAAGTCTGGAACTACAGAGTTTAATAGTGGAATCAATGATTTACTGAAATGTAAAAGATGGGTTTAAATTTTCACTTTTCTCACAGGTGGGAGTACAAGAACAACCTTTAAGGGCCTAATAGTCTCTTGTGGTTTGCATATTACTGTTAGGCACCATTGATTCATTTTGTAATATAGGTGGATTACCAAAAACATTGACAAATGTATTTAAAAATAAAGAGGTAAAATTATTATATGTATATATATATAAGGTAATCACGTGCTGATGTAATTACATGTGTATTCATTACTTTTGGCATCATCACTCAAAAACCTATGTTCTAGCTTTAAAGTGACCAATCATTCCATTCATTTATTGTTAAGCCTCAATCTAGTAGCATTCCTTAATAATGTTACTATATCATACATGTCCAAATTTACATTTTATGTCATTGTTCCTATTTGTTCCCATGTCTGTTATCCTCCATGTCAATGTGAAAATTATCATGCAGTGGTTTCTGTTATTCCTAGATGGTCTGAAATTCATTTTATTTAAACATTTTTTTTCCTTCCAGTTTAAAAGATGAATTAATAATATGAAACTTGACAGTTGACATCACCGTTTTTTTAATTTTTTATTTTAATTATTAACATTACAAACATATAATCCTAAATGTCCAACTCATAGCTACCTGCTGTACATCCTAATATTTAAGTTACTAGCTTAAACACAAACTTCCTCTATTAAATTCTATATTCACATGTAGCCGTAAATTTTACATCGAGTATTACATGATATAGGTCTAATATTTATAAATTTGTAAACGGTTAATTACATGTTTCGTAATGACATTACCTTCTCCAGTAGAGTTCTTCAGTAAGTTTCTGTTAAATGGTTTTTTTAAATATATGCTTCTGAAGAAGTTCGTTGGATATTCGTTTATATTTAGTACTTCACGAGAAGGAAAAAATATGTTCTCATGCAAGCATTTCTCCTTCCAAACGGAATGTCCATCAATCAACTGTTGCCATATCCTACAAACCAAGCGACAATTTTTAATATCAGAAACTGGAACCTTGGATAGAACAAAAATTATACACTCCACCGGAATAAGAGACATTCCAAACGGTTGTTCCTTGAAATTTACGTCACTTTTACCATTGTTACTTTGTTTACTATAATTTTGACCCATCGTCAACGTTATGCTATTGCACAATAAAAAGAAACATCAACAGCTAGGTACAGAAGTACATAATTAATATTCCCACAGTGACCGATATACCCCAAAGAAAAACAACAAAAAAAGAACTAACTAACACATCACGATAAACGCAGTAAATAAAATTCAAAACTAGAACAGCTTATATTATAGTTGTATCATTCTTACAATTGTTAAGTAAATACACGGTAAGAAAAGTGAACAAGAAAACGAATATTAATAAACTTTGCAATGATGAGACAAAAAGGCTGACTGATGACGTCCCACACACGCAAGCTACATATAGGAAATTATAGTTTTATTTACGAATATAACAAAAAAAATCGTGATTTTTTAGAGGGTTATTTTTGGTTTCGTCTTTAAAAAACACAACGTTTCGCTAGAGTCACCTAACATCATAAAGTAGACACATTCGAATGCCAGAACAAAACCAATAAACGCCACACCGTCAATACTGATACTGTTTCGTAATGAACTAAATAAAACCAAGTCAAACACTTTTTAAATAGGGAAAAATTAAAATAAATATCATTTTACACCTGAATAATGGTTAATCCTAGGTTTTTGTTGTTAATAAAGAAAAGTTCTTAGATTTTTATTCTATCAAAAATATTTTTCTCTGCAAATGATTTTAACATCGAAAAGAAAAACAAGAAAGGAGATTTTATATGTTCTTTTAAACTTGTTTGTTTGTTTTTTGAATTTCGCGCAAAGCTACACGAGGGCTATCTGCGCTATCCGTCCCTAATTTAGCAGTGTAAGACTAGAGGGAAGGTAGCTAGTCATCACTACCCACCGTCAACTCTTGGGCTACTCTTTTACCAACGAATAGTAGGAGTGAACGTCACATTATAACGTCCCCACGGCTGAAAGGGCGAGCATGTTTGGTGTGACGGGGATTCGAACCCGCGACCCTCAGATTGCAAGTCGAGCGCCCTGACCACCTGGCCATGCCGGGCCAACTTGTATATACTTGTAGGTAAATTTTTCTAATGTAAAATTTATCACAGTCGTTAGATGTCATTTGATACAAGGATCCTGAAGTGCCCTTGTTAACAAATTTGTGCAGTACAATTTAATCATTGTCCAAGCTGGTATGAAGGAAAATTTCATATTTAATTTTATGTTAGTATTATTTAGTTGTTTTAATTACGTTGTGAAAGCCTACGGATATATGGTATAACATGGAACCAAAATGTTTTTTTTTATTGTTGTTTCTAAATCGTTAGTTGTATCTTAAGGTTATGATTCCTTTTCTAGGAATGATAAAACTTTATTTATAACTGCTAAAGAAACTTGTTTCAGAAATTAAGTTGTGATTTTAACGCATTTATCTCTCTTGAAAAAGCTGTTGAGAAGAGTAAGTATTTTGAGGCGTATGAAAAAGTGATTTTATGATCCCTATATTTTATACATGATTGTGAAAGAATTTCGGTGAATATAAACTCCCGAATCTGTACCTACACAGAAAATAGTAGAATGAAATACAACCTTAATATTTTCAATAAAAACACCTAAAAAATAAATGTTTCCATGAACTACATTTTCAGTGGTAATCATGATGTTGGAATGGATTGCGCTATTGCTATTTTTACGTCTCTGGTCGTTTGTTAATTTTCCGTAGAAATTCTTTCCGAAGAAACTTCTGCGATACAAGTCTTTTCTTAAATAAAACTAGTTTATTCTTTCGCAATTCAACTTTGCAATACACTTAATTTCCACAGTCACTTTAACTTAAACTCACGCTATAATTCAAAACGATTCACGCCCTTTACTTGACTCAATTGTCCGTCTCTGTCTGTCTGCAATTCTAGCTCGATTCATTGTCTGGCGCACATCCAGCAAACACTGGATTATTCGTGATGTTCCCCGATCTTTCTAGAACGCATTACGTGTTACCAGCGTCACGTGACTTCCGCTGTCGTTACACTATATTGTGAAAGATAGTTTGTTCGTTTGTAGTTAAGCACAAAGCTACACAATGGGCTATTTGTGCTTTGCACATCTGGGTATCAAAACCCGATTTCTAGTGGTATAAATCCGCAAACATACCGCTATTGTGAAAGAAAACTATCGATATAATCAAATTTTAAAGGCCTTAAAAATGTCTTCTACATAATGGATCCGAAAAATTGGGGGATTAGGTGTTTGTTTGTTTTCGAACATCGCGTAAAACCATTCGAGGGCTATCTACTGTAGCCATTCCCAATTTTGAAGTGATAGGCTAGAGGGAAGGCAACTAGTCAACACCACCCACTGCCAACTAATTACTAACGGGCAGTGGGATGACTGTACATTATTTTAGAAGAGGAAATGTCAATATTTTTAGTTCTGACCATGAAAAATTAGATATTACAGGTGAAACAGGATTTCTTATGCTTAAGCCATCGATCTGGTTATAATGAACGTTGTAAAAAAGACAATTTGTACCAGTTTGTTTGTTTGTAATTAAGCACAAAACTACCCAATGGGCTATCTATGCTCTGCCCACCACGGTAATCGAAACCCGATATCTGCAGATATACCCCTGTGTTACTGAGGCGCATTTGTACGAGAAGCGGAAAAATGGAAAAAAATATTCGATGATGAAACATTTAAGCTCCACAAATTGGAGCCATGGATGAATTATAGGAGTAAAATAAGAACGTGATCCACAAATTTGGAGCCATGGATGAATTATAAGAGTAAAATAAGAACGTGCTCCACAATTTGGAGCCATAGGTGCATTATAAGAGTAAAGTTGACATTACAATATTTGGTTAGACAAGAATATCCAAAAGGTGAGAGTTTCTGATGTTTATTAGCTAATATTAACTATAATATCGGAAAATACCTGGCTTGGGTATTTGTCCCTTTTATCACTAAAGCTTATTCTTTTATCAAAGAGTCTGAATCTTTAGTCACCAAATTTTCACGTTCTTATTTTACTCCTATAATTCATCCATGGCTCCAAATTGTGAAGCACGTTCGTATTTTACTCCTATAATTCATCCATGGCTCCAAATTGTGGAGCACGTTCGTATTTTACTCCTATAATTCATCCATGGCTCCAATTTGTGGAGCACGTTCTTATTTTTTGTCGGTAAGTGGACAAGAACCACAGTCCGGCACGCTAAACAATTAAAATGGGCCATGATTAATCTATTAACAAAATATTGAATTTATTTAGATTCACTAAATGTACTTTTAAACGTAATATATACTTTATTCATACTTTGTTTTATTGCACAACTTTTAAGTATTGTTTGTTTGTTTGTTTTGAATTTCGCGCAAAGCTACACGAAGGCTATCTGCGTTAGCCGTCCCTAATTTAGCAGTGTAAGACTAGAGGGAAGGCAGCTTGTCATCACCACCCACCGCCAACTCTTGGGCTACTACCGTCACATTATAACGCCCCCTCGGCTGAAAGGGCGAGCATGTTTGGTGTGACGGGGATTCGAACCAGCAATCCTCAGATTGCGAGTCGAGCGCCTTAACCACCTGGCCATGCCGGGCAACATTTAAGTAGCTATTCCATATGCATATTCCATATTCTTTGGTTGTAGTAAAGGAGGCATTGTGTCTAAATTAATGGCGTATTTATGACATAGTGTTTTTTTCACTCTGAGAGCTTTGGTTTAATTTCAGGTTAATGATGAAAAAGGGGCTTTTATAAGCAGTGATTTTGGTATGTGACACCAGGTTGCTCTTGAGTTACTGTCAGCTTTTGGCTTCTCTATATTTGGTAACAAAAGTGAAAGAGAAATAAAAGCGCTTTTATACATAAGACATATAAAATCACTTGTATTATATTAATGATCGAACTGACCCCACATTATAATTTTTGCTGCATCTTCGTGCCCCTTCCCATTTTAGCATTCTGTTGCAGAATACTTTTACGATTTGGTGTTGCCTGGTTTTCTGCTCCCCAGTGGCACAGCGGTAAGTCTGCTGACTTATAACATTAGAAACCAGATTTCAATACCTGTGGTGACAATAGCATAGATATAGCCCATTGTGTAGCTAGTTTTCTATTCGGTGTTTAGTTAGAAAGAATGTGCAAATATGCCTTAAATGTAGTAAATCATTTTCATTTTCTCAGTTTTAATAACTTTGTTTGGGTTCTTCAGGAAAAATCGACTGACTCCATATTGACTGGGCGAACAATATCTAATAACCTGGTCGTACGGTAGCCACGTCGACCTATGAACAGAGCTTGAGAAAACGTTTGGTTTAATTAATTAATCTTACAACTATTGCATTGTTTAGCTCGTGCGTTGAACATATTCACTATTTAAACATGGACGTAGTTAAACACTAGAAATAAACGACCTTATAACACCCAAATGTTGTTTTTATTTAATTAGATACTCAATGTTTCACTTTACAACCTCTTCAGAAGCGTTCACTAAAACACAAACCTAAACTGACTGTAAAAATCTTTAAATGGTTCGAATAATGAATTATATTCAAATCTATAACGTGCATTTAACAAATTAAGTAGTAAAGCTTATTGTTGAAATAATTAACTACCGTATTTTTCGGTGCATAAGACGCACTTTTGTACCCCAAAATTTGATGTCAAAGTCTGCTTGTGTCCTATACACCGAAGGTATGAATAATATATATATATTGTTACGTATCTGCTTGTTTGATAATTTCCGTAAAAATTCTTTCCCACAAACTTCAGCGATACAAGTCCTTTCTTGATTAAACCAGTTTATTCTTTCTCTTTGTAATACACTTAATTTCCATAGTCACTTTAAACTTAACTACTTTTGTAAGCACACGCTATAGTTCACAGCGATTCACACACTTTATCTACCGCTCGCTTGACTCGATC